AGAATACCAATGCTGATCATAGAAGCAAGAGAAAAGCTAAAGAGAGCTGTAGGGAGGTACCAGGATGGCTCCAAGAGGGTCAAGCCACCAGAAGAATTTGATGGCTAAAACGGCAGAGGCTAAGCCCACAGAGTTGGTGATGACATCAAAGAAATGATCCTGTGCGTACGCCCTCACGATCTCATTCTTGAACCTCCTGCAGTAACTCATCAGCCCTACCTTCACCACCGTTGCTCCTACCATTATCCCCACCATCCATTTCTCCTTCTCCTCATCCCTGTCCGGCTGAGCCTGTCCTTCCACGTCCAAATCATTTTAATTACCCCTCAATTTTAATCATTATTAATTAATTTTCTAAACATGCTTTATTAATTCATTATTCTTGCATACCTTTGTGATGATTTGCCTTGCTGATTCAAACAGAATTTGCAACCCAAGAGTTGCCATCACTGATGCAAACACCACTATTCCCTATACAGATATTGCAATGGATTGAGTTTTATTATTGAGAAATGACCAATTGAAATGACTCTAGATTTCATAAGAAAAGCTTTAATAGTAATGAACTAAGTCATTGAGAATAATAATGTTTCATTTGACATGTGGGGCCTGTCAAAATCCTATCTTTTTCCTCTCTCTAACCTATTTAGTTTTGGATTTGGAGAGAAATATCTTATTTCTCAAACTCTGCACATCTAATATGTGCATAGAAAAATGGAATTTCACTTAAGAATGATCGAATTACCACAGGTTGCATGCGGTTCTTGCCAACAGGGTATTGGTGAAGATTGGGCTTGTTCATGGCATAAGAAGTGAACCAGAGAATGAATCCAGACAAGAGATCCAAGAGAGAGTCCAGAGTGGAGGCTATCACAGCCAGTGACCTGCTCTCTATGGAAGCAAACAACTTTGCCACAAACAGCACCATGTTGAATATGTTTGATGCATATATTGCTGCCCTCTCTCCCCTCTCTAGCTTCTTTGTCTCTTCCTGCAAATCATCAACATAGCCACAATATAACTCATTTCTCAGACTCTATACAGTACAAGAAAAACTATACATATGCTAGTTATGAGGACCTTGCAGCCCAACTAACACTAAGTACCCCATATTAAGTACTCTTTTATTCCCATTTATAAGGTGGAGAAAGAAGAATTTTTTTAGGTTCTATTTATGAGTTATCTTATTAAATTTTTAATATGAATGTATTATTTTATTATTCATTTATTATAGTGTATATAGTTATTTTTTTAAAGGTGTATATATTAAATAGGGGTAAAGTTGAAAAGTTGTTATATTTTAAAGAAGAATTAATACAGTTTAAGGTTTCTTTAGTCTGTATGAAATATAATGAAAGTGCTTTATAAATAAGACTAGAAGAGTATGAGATATTATGAGCTTGAACATTTATTAAAGAATATAATGGGTGCGTGAGTTATGAGAAAAGAAGAGAAATTGTAAAACCCATAGAATTCAAATTTGAAAAGAAAGTAACTAGAGAATCAATCAAACCAACCTCTGTCAAACTATTGGGTAATACGCCCAATTCAGTATATGAATCCACTTCCTGATAGCCTTGCAGGACCCTTTCCTGCCTATTGTAATACTTGGCAAGTCTTCTTTCTCTCCCTGCTTGTATAGAACAGATGAAGATGGTAACAAAATCAGGCAAATTAAAGTAGCAGAACATAATTGATCATCATTGAGATTAAGGTATTAATTACTTAATGTGTTGAGGAAGAAGCCAAAGCCAAAATGAGAGTGCATGTTCCTCTCAGGCAAATGATACTGATCCATATTGATTCTCCATGAGGGTTCCCTAGCTGCCATCGTCCCATTCTGCAGCTTTGATAAGGCTGGAGAAAGAAGCTCGGTTCTGTAATCAAACGACTCGTTTCCAACATCATCCTCCATTTTTTCCTCTGTCTTTTCTTCTGCTCTTAGCATATATGCACATATATGCTATCTGCAAATGTATAGAGTGAAAGCCTCAAAGGGGGTTTATTATTTTTTATATTATGTGGTTTGGGTGAAAAGCATCACCTGAGATGGCTATAAGAAGGCATGAAGAATGCTTGAAATCCCCAAAGTTCTCTTGTTGTTGCCAAGTCTTCAATCTTTAATTTTCTTAGTGACTTCTCCGAAGTTGACCTCATCAGGTTTTTTGGAGTTTATATATATAGTTATATATATAATAAAGTATGAAAGGAATATTCTCATTGGGAATATATGTTCATGGTGTTTTATAAGTAGTAGGTTTTGACTGCGTCACTGTGGGAAGCTTTGTATAACAAAAGACATGCTAAATGAAAAAAGAATCTAATCTATGAAATATAATGATAAGTGTGTATATGAATGCTGTCTATTTCTGATATGGAGAATTCAGCGATTAAGTGTCACGTTACACAAATTAGTTTAGCTTCTCCAAGTTTCCAGGCTTTAGTTTTTGAATAATTATATTTATTTGCGTGTTAGCATGAAACATGAACGAAAAGTGAGGCTTAGGCATATTAATTTCTTCAGTCTTCACTAACTGGCCAGCCCCAGCATTGGTCGAAATTAAAGTTCATGATATTCAAAGTCACCACCCATATCTTCACCTAGGAAACGGACGGGGGATTTTAATAAGCTGAATTTAAAAAAATTGAAGAAGTGGGGTTTCAAAATTTTAATTAAAAAAAATGTAAGATAAAAGAGTAATAAAAATTAATTTAAAGTTTTTAACTCCACTTCAAATCAAGTTCATTAAAAATTTCCCCATTCTCTCCATTTTTTTCATACCAAACGGACCTTAAGGTCTCCTTTCTTTAATTATTTTATCTTTTTATTTGTACAGCAAAGAGGCCTTGATTATTTCTCTCTCTCTTTTTTTTTTGGGAAAAAATAAAAGAAGCATTAGTTATTTTAAGGGTTAAGGTACATCTAGCATCTTAAATTATTTTGTCAGGTGTATTCAGCACCTTAAAATATTTTATAGTGCATCTAGCATCTCGAAATATTTTTTAAGTGCATTCAACACCTTTAAATATTTTTTTTGGGCCTTAGTGTTGGATACACCAAAATTTTTTTTTTTAGATGTTGGACTCATTGAAAAAAAATACTTTAAGATGTTGGATTCACTGAAAAATATTTTAAAGTATTGGACGCATTTAAAAATACTAGATGTACCACAAAATATCTTAGAATGTTAGATGCACTAGAGAAAATATTTCGGGATATTTGGAACATCTTAACTAGGGATGAAAATAGGCTAGGCTCCCATTAGAGGTCTATGGCGTAGCCTACATAAAACCTAGCCTAGCTATTTAGTAAATAGTCCATACCCATATTCAGGCCTATTTAAGCAAACAGGCTAAGCTTATGTTCATAAAGCCTAGCTTACAAACTTACAGACTTAGTCTATTTAGTTTTTTTTTAAATTAAATTTGTGTTGTTATATATTATAAACCAATTTTATAAAGTATATATAAAATCACAAACTTTAATTTGACCCTGAGTTTCACATCATAACATTCCTATGTAACATTCTAATTTTCATATATTTAATATTTAAAGAAATTTTTATAGAATAAGTAGAGGTTAAATATACATATATGTAATTAAAATAATTCTGATTTTATGTATATGTGTGTGTGTGTGGGTATGAGAAAATGAATAAAATAGTAATATTAAGAAGTCTTACATTGATTAAATGATAAGAAGATGGATAAAATAGCAATGTTAAGAAGTCCCACATCAACTAAATGATGAGAAGAGGAAGCTCTAGGAGCCTATATATAGGTGGTAGTAGGGGAGAGTTAACGATGAATTAAATAATTTTCACACAAAACTGAGATAGTCTCAGTAAAGTGTTGTTTACGGATTTATAAACCGTCGGATCGGGCTGCAATTTGGTCAGCTGATCCTAGACTTCAAACTCGTTAGTTTCAACGGTTGGATCGTCAATTGAATGTCTGAGTTACAGGTTATTAGGTACGTTTTTCATTTAGTTTTTTAGATTTGGTAAATATAATACTAGATAGTAAATTAGTGTTTTTAAATTTTTTCACCATTGGATTAACCCGAAATTTAGAGAGTAGTCTTGTGACATGTAAGATATTAAATTCAACGGTTGGATTAATAATTAGACTTCTACAATAAGAATAAATTAACTCATATTGAGGCTGTTTGTCTAAATTCTTTGAAGATAGAACATAAATTATAAATTGAGGGTTCTCTATCTAGGTTATGAATTTGGTGCTTCAAATGATATAATTTAATAATTAAAGATAACATAAGTTAATAGAGCCTAGGAATTGAATATAAATCATCACATATATGCTCTTACCCTAAACCTTAGAAAAAGCCTTTCGAGCTAGAATTTTGAGTAACACCTGAGGGTATTAGAGGGAGCGTTAAAGGTTAGAAATTTGTGAGTAGTTTACTCTAATACTGTAAAAATAATGTTTTAATTTCAATTGTAGATATAAACCCTATTGTGGCATTTTCGAGTACGGGCCTCATTTGTACTTGATTGTTAGCTAGGAGACCAGGTAACTAAATTTCTATCTGTTACATGCATTGGTATGAGGTTGGTGAGTGATTTTATAACTAAGTTTTGTATACATATATTATGTTTTGTATGAACTATCTTGTGGGATACTGTTTTGAAAAGAATTAAAATCATTTGTATTGTTAGAAATTAATGATTATGACTATGAAGTGTCATTCTGGAATTCGGTTGATTATACATATAAATGTGTTATTTTGAACCCTGTACATCAATGAACAAAAAACCGGACCGGACACTGAACCGGTCTAGATAATGGGTCAAGGGTTAATGGGTCAGACCGGGGTCAAACCGGTTATATTAAAATAATATAATTTAATTAGCAATGACAATAAAAATAACATTCATTAATAATAATCATTTAACAAAATACAAAAAACAACCAACATGGTTTAAAGTTTAAACATTTAATTGTACCAAACTACCATTAACAAATATATATCTTCATCACTACAGAAAATCAAAATCATCATTAAATTCATTGGCAGGGCCAGGAATGGAGACATCAATAGTTGGAAGAGGAAAAGTAGAAGGAGTAGCAACATCATCTTGCAGAGGTGGAGGTTCAACAATATTCATATCATCATCACCACCTAAATAAGACAATAATAAAATGTCAATTAAGTGTAAATCAATATTAAAATAAAAATATTTATAACTTCTAAGAAACTAAGATAATAATACCTTCATTATCCCTCCCAGGAGTTGTCAAATTTGAAATGTCTTCATTGTTGAAAACACTTTCAAATGTCGCCACATCTCTATCATCAAACTCTGGAACAGGATCTTCTTCAGTCACCCAAAAGTCCACCAAATCAATGTTTTCATAGTCAATAGGATCATAGCTTGCCTTCTGCTTCTTCAATGTACTCCTGACAAATAAAATTTCAATTAGATGTAAATCCATATCAAAATAAAAGCAGCCATAACTTATAAAATTACCTATGCTTCAATCGCAAGTTATAGTTTGTGAAAACTAAATCATTTAGCCTCTTGTGCTCCAATCTATTTCTTCTTTTTGTATGAATGCGTTCAAATAAACTCCAATTCCTTTCACAACCAGAAGAAGAAGAAGTTTGACTAAGAATGCGCATCGCAACACGTTGCAACTCTGGCACTGAACATCCATAATATGTCCACCATTCATCTAAATCATGAAAATATGAAATATAAAATTAGTGAATGACCATCAATATACTATTAACTATTAAATACAAACACTTACAAGGGTCAAGTTTCTGTGCTGCTTTTTGACATGATGGTCTACTGAAGGATTCTTTAGCTTCACGATAAGTAGTTGCTTGTTTCATTACCAAGAAGCCATCAACCTCTTCGTCTGAGTAAGACTCCACCACATCAATTAAAGCCATCATTAACTTTGACTTGATCGGGCAGTCTGGAGCATATGTGATTGCAGGATTCAGCAAATATGATGCTGCATGAAGATTGGTCTTCAAATGCTTATCCCATCGAGTTTGAATGATTGTTGTGTACGGCTTATACAGGTCCTTGTTCTTCTTAAACATCTCTTTAATTGCCATTTTTGCCCTTCGCATGCCTTCATAAACATAAGGCAATGAAGGCTTCTCATCTGAATCAACAATTCTCAACAATTTTATAAGAGGAGATACAATTTTCACAACTTGATAACAATCATTCCAAAACCGATTGTCCAATATGATTGCACTGAAATTTTTTCCTGCTTCAGTCCTTGATAATTTGTGGTCCACAAAGTGTTTATCAACAACTAAAGCTTGCAAGTCATTCTTGTGCATATATATGCTATGCAATGTAATAAATGTGGTAGCAAACCTTGTGGCACCAGGACGCACAATTTCTTTCCAAGTCGGTCTTTTCCTCAGCCATGATAAGAAAACCATATGATTATATGCAAATACAGTTATCTTTGATGCCTTTGATGCAAGGTCTGACACATGAGGCATGCTTGAAAAGTCTTTCAATACAAGATTCAAACAATGTGCAGCACAAGGTGACCAATAAATACTTTTATACTTCTCTTTAATCAATCTACCACATGCTACATAGTTAGCTGCATTGTCAGTCACCACATGAACAATATTTTTAGGACCAATCCACTCAATGACTTCACAAAATAGTGTGAATAGAGTTTTGGCATCTTTAACTAGATCTGATGCATCAACAGACTTCACAAATACCATACCATGTGTAGAATACACTAAGAAGTTTATCAAAGTACGCTGTCTAACATCAGTCCATCCATCAGCCATGAGTGTGCAACCATTGTTTTTCCATTTAGCTCGATGGCTATCAATGAGTAACTGACATTCTTTTCTCCAGTCACTCAACAAGTTGGTTTTAAAATCATAAGCACTAGGAGCTTTAAACCCAGGCCCTATTGAAGCAATGCCATCCACAGCTTTTTGAAATAAAGGACAATCAAACGCCTTAAACGGAATGCAGTTTACAATAGCCCATTCAGCAATCAACATTTTCACATTATGCTTTGCTTCTTTAGTTGCTAATGCACTCTTAATGCCAGGTTGGGAATCAGGAGTTGTCCTAGGAGCAAAAAAATTGTCTATGCTCCCAGAAGCTTTCCTCTTCCTCACACTACTTGTGACATTTGGTGATTCAACATGAGTTTCTTTTACTTTCTCTTCTATGTTTTCAATAGTTTTCTTCTTTGACCCTTCTTTTAAAGACTCTGCCATTCTATAACGTACATCATGTGAACTTTTTTACAAGCAGCTATTTGACCAACAGTGCTAGCAAGATGTTGCTTTATCCTATTTATCCCACCTCCTCTATAACTATTAGTACAAAAAAGACACGTATATATATTTTGTGTTCCTTCTTTTTTGTACGCAATATGTGCCCATGCTGGATCAGTTTTGGCACGTAATGAGGATGTGGGTGTGGAGGTTTCGGTAGGGGGATTTGAAGATCCAGTATTAGGAGTCATGTTGTCATTTCTAGAACTTTGGTTATTTGAAATATCCATCACTGCTACTAAAAAAACAAATCAAAAGCTTAACACAACATTAATGATTAAACAATCAAGTTATTCAGTTTCAGATTTCATATTGAACAAAGTGGGGAACCGTCCATAGTTTTAAAACTGAAAACATATTCAAACTTCACTACTTCAGTATATAACTATATACAATGAAATGACCACAATTTTAAACCAAACACAGTTTACAATTTTGAAACCAAACAAGTAATTCTAAACTAGAGCATCAAATTATTCCAGAGTACCAAATTAATGAAATTATTCCTTTATGCAAACCAAACATAGAATATCCTCAAGCATATACAAATTAATTTTCACAGAATATCCTCAAGCAGAAGCAGAATTCAGATTCCAGAATGGCAAAATCAAACCATAAAAATAATAGATGGCAGAGATTATCACCGTCACTTCCAAGTTCAAACGAAAATGGGTGAGTTTGCTGAGAGTGGCCGAGAGCAGAGACTAAGAGTTCAAATGAAAATTGGGAGGCTGGACTTGGGAGAACTGAGATCAGCGAGCACTCAGCCGCTCACTAACAACTTGGATCGGCGACGACAAGGCACTGACGGCACAGGCAAGGCGAGGAGCTTCAGGCGAGGCGACGACAGGGCACCGAGCAGCTTCAGGCGAGGCAGGGGACGACGATCGATGACCACACCGAGAGTGAGGGCAGTCAGGAGTGCGAGCTTCAGCGAGCTGGGAGATTCAGTGAGCACACACCAAGGACGGGGTAGTGAGCACACGGTGGCGAGATTCAGTGAGCTGGGACCGAGGATGGGGAAGTGAGCTGAGCACACGGCGGCTGCGAGGGCAAGCGAGGACGAGATGGAGATTGGAGACCAAATGAGGAAGAAGGAGACGGGCGCGGGGTCGAGCGAGGGTGCGGGGTCGAGCCGGTTTTGGATTCGGTTTGCAATTTTTTTTAAAAAATGAAATGGCGTCATTTTTGGGCTCTGGAGGGGGCAAAACAGTGAACCAGATAAACCACCTAAACCAGCGGTTTACCCTGTTTAACACTGGTTCTTACCGGCTCAACCGGTTTACCACCGGTTCAAACCCTGGCCTGTTCTTGCCTTAACCCAGACCGGACATCAGGCCAGTTCACTGGTTGAACCGGCCAGTCTGGTCCGTTTTTTTTTTCCATGCTGTACATCTAGTTTGGGTGGGGGAAGGAGATGATTGGAGTTATTGAGATTTATATACTTACCACGTGGTATTAGCCTCCATTCAGAGCTTTATGGTTGGCCACTATTTTTTCGAGGGACTGCGACACCCCACTAGTTCTTCGAGGGGGGACCCGTGGTTAGGGGTGAGTATTCAATTTTTCGGTTTGGTTATCAATGATAACCGAATTAACCAAATAACCGAATAGAGCAAATTTAAACATCGAACCAAAACCGATAACTGAACTAACCGAAACCGAATTAACCAAATTATTTCGGTCTGGTTAACCAATTAACCGAAATATATAAATATGAAAGTGATTTTAAATTAATAATAATAATAAAACACAATTACAACCATTAATTAATAAATATTTCATCATTTAATGTGATTTATTACAATAATATTTATTATAACCATATTTATTGAATATAAATATATTTAAAGAGTTCACATAAACCCATATATATATATTTATTATAATAATATTTATTAAATATAAATATATAATATATTCATTTTGGTTTTTTCGGTTATAACCGAATTTTTTTCTACTAACCGAACCAAACACCGAAACCGAATTATTACAAAAATAAAAACCGAATATGTAACCGAAAACCGAAATAACCGAACCGAAAAACCGAAATTAAATTCGATTCGGTTTTGCTCACCCTTACCCGTGGTCCACTGAGTGCTCTGTGGTCTTTGATCGGTCCATATCACTCGAGTGGTGAGTTTGTTAGATTAGCCAGTTAAATGGAAAGAACTTAGCCCATGGGTCCAGTCGGCGGAAATAAGGAGAATATAAAGATAGATTTGGGTTCATGGATTTCATATGACATGGTATCTTCATTTGATATTTATATCTTTTGAATAAAATGAAAAGTATGTTATCTCTTTTGAAATTTATCAGCTGTATGAGATTGGCAGAAATATTTGACTTATATGGTTATTGTGAGTTTAACTGTTAAATAAATGTCTATTGATTGTTTTTAACTCGATGTATCCCACCTGACACCTCGCTAGCCCATGCTAGTGTGTGTGATAGGTAGGGTTTTAGTTACTGAGACGTTGTCTCGTCTTTATTGTTTAATATTTTTTAGGCGAAAGTTTTAGATGAGGGACATTAAGGAAGGCTCAGGAGGAGTAAAACTACATTAGCGACTTGTAGCGTCTCCTCGATTTATGAGCTATGTTGTATCCTATATATTGCCACTTTAGGATAAACTGTGTTTAATTGATTCATGCATTATTATGTTTTATATCCTTTGAGTTGTACTGTTGTGATATGCGTGCTGGTAGTTGGCTAGAGGCCTAGGATCGCATATAATTTGTTTATGAATTATAAAATATGAATTTCTCATTTAATTCTCAATATTTTGATCTATGAGCTATATTATATGTTGTTTTGTAACCATATTAGATGAGATTGATCATTTCTTACATAGGTTGTATTTGAATGAGTTAAGAAAAGTTCTTTAATCCGTGATAGGATGTATGATTGGGTGCTGCTCTTTTCTATCACGGATAACATTATGATGTAGTTAGTTAGTGTAGACGACTGTGATATAATTGGGTTCGTATTTAGCATGGTTTTGTTATAAAAAGCTATTTCTTAAAGTTACTATTAAAAAAAAAGTTAAGTTTTTTTTTGTTTATTTAGGCAGGTTTTTTCATCCTACATAAGATCAACCCCTTTTCATTTATCATTCATCTCCACCTCTCTCATTTTCTATTGTTCAATATAGTAATGTTAGCTCACTTCTTCTCCCTTAATTTTTGTTATTTAAAGGCCTGTATTTTAATTAGGCTTTTAGACAGGTTTCAAGTCTTGTGAGACCTTTTGAAGACTCCAGCTCACACCTTTAAAAAAAAAAACTTATATACAAGCTTAGGCCCAAGCCTAGATTTTAGATATCTATTGCAGGCCAGACATGTTTAGCTAAAACTTAGTCCAACCCAGCCTATTTTCATTTCTAATATTAATCTTGTTTTAATTACAAGGCATTGGTTTCCCCAATTCCGACGACTAGGTTTCAAGTGTTCTCTTTAGAGAGGCCAGCTAGTCATAACGTGGAGCAGCCAAGACATAAACTCTCGAAAAAGTTGCAATGCGGAGAAAGATGCAATGTCATGAGTTTCACATCACGAATGTTGCTTTGAATGAGGGCCCTTATAAGAATTTAGATTGCTTAACACCAACAACTAATTTTTAAGGTGTGGTTTTTCCAAGGACTTAAAGACAGATTGCTTTCTTCCTGTTTGAAAGCGTGAAAAAATTCTGAAGCTATTATTATCCTCATCCCCAAATGAGATCATATGTGCCCTTTTGTTCTGAGACAAAGATTTGATTGAAACAATGGGAGCTATTTTTAATTAGGTCTTTGTTTTGGTAGTTCACAAACTGTGGATATATTAATGTTCCCGGAATGTTAGCCACTCCTTTATCCTTAATATTTTGTATTGTGTGTATTGCTTCAAGGCATTAATCACACCACACTTCTTCCTTCGTCACCATTGAAGTCATAAGTACAAAATTACACAAATTGGTGACGCAAGCAAAGCAAAAATATACTGTCTTCAGTCCTAATTATAAAACTTTATTTACAGACTGCAAACAAAGTCTTATAATTAAGACCGGAGATAATACTTAAGAAATTGCATTACCCAAATTGCCCTCGCCCCTTCCGCTAGCCTTACCCCCGACCTCTCAGTTTGAAGGTGTGTTTGCTGCAGAAACGTTCAAAGAGGCTTGAAAACATGTCTACGGGATAGAGGAAATCATTTGTATCTGATGCTTATATCATTCGAATAATATAAATTAAATTACTCATCTAATTTATATAAATATTTAATATGAAAAATCAGTTTATTAAATATTCGGTTTCCCATCGGGGTGGGTCGGAAATCTAGCAATATTAGATCTGGAAAAACATTTCTAAATAAAGCCTCTCTTAGTGAGGGTAATTATGAGGAGAAAGTTGGACTCTCAAAGGACACGGAAAATTCCCACACTTTTTTTACAATTATACAAGTAACTTCCTGAATAAAATTTAAGTTGTACTTTCGCAACATTTTTGTCTATCAAATAAAAAAAAATACTAAGGATTACGCTGAGTCCAACTCGGAACCAGAAATATTTTGTCAGATTCGTTCAGAATTTTAAAATATATTATGGTGCGTTTAACACTCTGCTATATTTTTTCACATATATTTAGTAGTCTAAAATATTTTGTTTTACAATTTTGATATTAAAGTGTTAATTTTTTCAGAAATAATTTTACTTTTAAAGCTTTATGTTATGAGTAATTTTAACTTCGTAACTAACTTTTCAAAAGGCTTGTTAAATAAATGTATATCAAGCATTAACGTATCTTTTAGAACGCCTATAAAAATATTTTAGAGTATTAGATAAATTACAAAATACTTAAAAATATTAGATGTAAGTGAAAAAAAAAATTCAATGCGCTAAAAGCACTATAAAATACTTTAAAGTATTAGACACAATTAACAAAATATTATATGCACCTTAACCAAAAAAGAAAATTTCTATATATATATGTTTGAAAAATAATTGTACCTTCGTGAGAAATACAAACTTAACCAAGTAATTTATAAACTAACTTTCTTAAGAATTAACTGTTCCTTAAAACTCGAGTTAATTTGCCAAGAAGTTATGTAATTAAACACAGTGAGGTCAAAGAATAATTCAAATTTGATTCTATTATCCAAAGCATACCATTCCATGTCTCTTACAAATTGTTATGCTACAACCAATTTTTTTTTATATAAGAACTAGTTAATTAATTTGAGTATATTAAAAAAACTTGTTAAGATAATCATTTATAATAAATAAGTGTTTTTTTAAAATATTTTTACCAATCACTTTTATTAGTTAGAATTAGTATTTAATGTAACTTTTAACATGTGCTATTAATAATGCTATAATTATTATTTTTAAAAAAATAGATAAATATAAAAGATAAAATAGATTGAGATTTTATATTTAGGACCAAATTGAATATAATATTAGTTCTTATATTAAGAATAGGTGCGGATATATGACAAAATAAAATTCACCATATAAACTCTATTTTTTGTGAGCACCATATAATTATTATTGACCTATGATTCTATGAAAACACATTTTCCAATAATTTAACCTCCACCTGCATTTAGTGCAGGGTTATAATCTTCCAATTATTAAATTAAATTAAAGTATGTTAGTTTGGAAATTAAATTAAAGTATGAATATTTAATACTCATGACCCACAGTATATTAGCTTTTTTTGTTTTTGTTTAAACAAAAACAGAAATATAGCCAACACATCACTCTCTTCAAGGTTCCAGTCTACTGAGAGCCAAAAAGGAGGGACCACGAAAGCAGACCAGAAGAATCGAAGGCAACGCACACCATCTTCAAGCATCAACCTCTCTTTCAGCTGAATCCGCTTTCGGAAACCTTGGTTTCAGACGAATCACAAACTCGACAGTCCCTGCCCTACTCTGCCTGCACCGGCTTGCAGGACAAGATCTCCGTCTTCCTCGAGGTTTTAGGGTTTTTGTTCTCCAACTCAACGATGGTAATTCTTTTTGAAGTTGATGATATGGTGTCGAAAAGTCCCAATTTTTGTTTGGGTGTCTGTTCTTGTTAGCCATATGACGGCAATCCCGTTCGTTTTTATCATGTGCCTCCCATTTGAACGTTTTTTAATTTTTTTTTTCTTACGTTTTTTAACTGATAGATGAAGTGAACTTTTCTTTCTGAATTTTCTGGGTAAGTTCGGAGATTCGAGAAGTTATATGTTGGCAATCGATTTTTTTTTTTTTCCTTTCAATCTTATCTTCCTCCTTTCAAGTTTTTTCCCTGTGGGGTGAAGTAGCTTCTTCTAATAACGATTGAAGTAAAACTTTTTCTAATTTTTTGGGTGACTTTCAAGATTGAGGAAGTCATAGCATCATTAAAATTCAGTGCAGTGCATATATTGTTAGTTCGCGTCCTTATGCCTGACAATTACGCGAATGAAGTAGCATCTTTTACTGACTTCTAAGGTGAACTTTTCTCCGAAGTTGTCAAGTTTCAAGGCTAGGGAAAATTATTGGAGTCGTCAAAATTTAGCACTCCGAATATATTTTTACCTTTTCTCCGTGGTTAGAAGGTTATGATGCTTATATATGCTAGTAAACACTTTTCAGTTATGATTTTCTCCCATTTTATCAGTTTGCTTAGAGTTATAGTTTTGTTAATCAACTTCATTACTCATGTTTGATTATCAAAATTGCGTAGATAACTGACATAAATGAAATTTATGACTTACTGATTACCTGTTCTACTTTTGACAGCACAAACTGGGGAGAGGACACCGTGATAAACTCCAGCAGTTCATGACCATAACTGGAGCTAGGTAATGAATCGCTTATGACTTTTGACTGCATTTGGTTTGCTTCCAATTTATCATTTACCTTTTGAGTCTAGTAATTTATTTTATATCTTGTGTATGTGTGGGTTGGGCAATGTGGGTTTCGGGATGATTGCAGACAAAAGAATGGGGATATATATTTTCTTTTCTGTAGACTTGAAAATTACGCATTTATTAATTTGATTGCTTCACCATATGTTTTCAGGGATTTGCATGCTTTTAATAATAAACACACACACACTGTCAGTCACTCTCTCTTAGGACACTGTAGAATTTTCGTATGCAACGGTGTGGATAATGTAGTTACTATCTGGTACTAACACTGAGATATATGGAATTAGTTGGTTGGGTTCCGATGGATATTCATAGGAATTTCCTGCATTACACATTTTTTAAACTCTTTTCATCACTGAAAAAATCTAATTATGTATGTGTAGTGAGAAAGTGGCTCTTCAGGCGTTGAAGGCTAGTGACTGGCATCTTGAAGGAGCATTTGATGTGTTTTACAGCCAGCCGCAGCTTAAAACAGTAGCTGATTCCAGACACTTGGAGAAGCTTTACAATAGATATAAAGGTTAGCGATGAAGCAAAAAGTTAAAGACACTAAAATCTTGCAACTGATGCTACAAACCTGTTGGTGAATCGTTTTAATATCAGCGGCAAATTGAGCATAAAAATCTTGTGCCATTCATGTTTAGTCATGTCTTTGTTCTAAAATTTAGTGGCTATAAAGTACTTGTGTCATTGGATGTATTCAGTTCTCATATCTGTACTTTTTCTGGTACCATCTTTGCTGTTTTCTAATTTAACTAGACACGTTTGCTCATGTATTGCTTGGAGTTGAAAAAATTAGCTCCACTAATTTATTGATTATGAATCGTATGACTTACTGTAGTTTTCTTGTATGTATTGGTATATTGGTTCTGAATATTTTAATGTACTGGATCTTCATAATGCTACTTGCATGATATACTAGATTGATCCTTTTTCTCCCCTTTCAATGTATTTATTTACTTGTTATAGCCTTAAATGATCTTAACACTCCATTGATTTGTTAAGAGGAAGAGAACATTTAAAGATTATATCTATTTGTATCCTCTGGTTGTTTGTTGTGGAAAACTTGCTGCTTCCCAAGGTTGCATTCTATTGCATAGGAATAGCTTTTGGCTAGGATATGTGTTTATGTTGTTTTAAGGGAGTAACGTCGTTTAGCCTGCCCATCCCCAATTAATTGCCTCTTGTCTGCCAGAACCAGAATTATTTCTCAAGCTAGAAAGTCCACTCCTATGATAAACCAACAGAAATTACTGATTAATGCCTTGGTTGTACTCCCTCCAATCCTTATTATAAGGGCACTTTTAACTACCTCACCGGAACCAAGGAAAGGTGGTTAATTCATTAACTTTGTCTGAAAATGAAATAAATTTCTATTTTTGACCATATTTGAGCTGAGAATTTTCAAATTTGCATTTCATTCTCTCTCATAGTGACTTTAAAAAGGGGCTATATGCAAAAAATTTAATCAGTATCCCATCTAGTAACTTATAATAAGGACCATCCATTCATTCTAAAAGGTGCCTTATAATAAGGACTGGAGCAAATATTTATTTCAGAGAAAATATCACAAAATTTTATGGCAAAGTGCACCTTTGATCTTTTAATTTTACACAAGGCTTCATTCAGGTCCCTTGATTTGATAAAATGTCTTTTCATTTCTTTAACCCTAACATCGTTAGTTCCATTAACAAAAATGGCTGAGATTACAATTTTAAATGTTCGCAAAAACATTAACAAATGGTGATATATTAAGTTTAATTTTTAAAAATAATTATTGGAACAAAAAATATCATTTGAGACTGACAGTGTTAGGGTTAGAGGACTAAAAAGATATTTCATAAAATTAAGGGACTAAACTGAAAACTTGTACTAAATGAGATGACCGAAGTTGCACTTTTGCCAAATTTTATCCAGTCTTCTTTGGACGCAAGACTTGATCTTTGTGCTCAACAATTTTTGGGAACTTCAAATCTTGATATTCTGGATCTCGAGTTGGTTATTCCAATTGGACAATTTTTACTGAATGGAACCAGCCCATTGTTTGAATGAGATTAAAGGATGTGGAAGATATTGTGGGTTTGAAACTTGTGCTATTGAATTCATTTACTTAGTTTTCCATTGTTGATATGTGGTTTTTGCTTATGTAAACGTGGTACGCAGTGCCTGTATTAATTTTTTTTTTTGGCACTAATTTCCATGCAGATCCATATGTTGACATGATATTGGCTGATGGTATCACTCTTCTTTGCAATGATCTCCAGGTTGCTTTTTGAAAATGCAATTTTTTGAATCATGGATGCCTGTTTGAACTTTTCAGTTGGCAGGAACTTGCTGGTTAATTAGATGTATCATATACAGTGCACACCATATGGGTGTTTTAGCATTTTTTTTTCTCTTTTTTTTTTAATGCTTTTGATTTGCTTCAAAGGTTAATAAAATCATTTTCGTTTTGTACTCTAATTTATTTATTTTTTAATTTTTTTGGTACAGGTGGATCCTCAAGATATAGTGATGGTATGGCTTTGCTTTCTAATAGTATTTATTCATCTAGATTCTGTGTAATTTCTTAGGTTTATTTATTTTCTCCTTTAACTTAGTGTATGAAGTATAAATTGGAATAGTGTATGAAGTATAAATTGGAAAGCCAGCATTGTTTAAACTGTGATCAATAAAGGTAATAATACATAATAACGTAAAATTCAGTATTGTATTAAAAAATTTGGGTTAATACATTGTTAGTCCTTATAGTTTGATTGAACTTTGATTTTAGTCTCTGTAGTTTTAAATCATGATTTTTGGTCCCTATAGTTTCATAAGGACTTGGTCTAAATTTAATGGTGTTAACTAAAAGTTAAAAATTCGTTAAAACTACATGGATTAAAACCAAAACTTGTTAGAAGTAATAGGCACTAGAGGAGTTTTAGTTTTGTTGACTGTATTTTTAGCGAGTTTTGATTTGGTCCCTATATTTAGTGGCATTAAACATGGAAACTATAGGGAACAAAAATTATGATATGAAACTACAGGGCCAAAACCAAAATTCAATCAAACTGTAAAGACCAATAATGATATTAACTCCAAAACAATTTAGATGTGCATGCATGAGTTGCATATTCACAAACTATGATTTATTGTTGTGTCAAAATTTTCGGATGTCTAAAGGATATTTAAAGTAGCAAAGGTAACATATTGTTTCTTGTAAACAGGAATGATAATGTTCTCACTCATAAATGCTGATGCATGATGAATTTAGATTTCCTCTGGTAGACTGTTGCAATTCTAAAATTTTTTCACATAAAATGTACGTTTCTGTTTAAAGTTTATGTTGTTGTAGGAATGCTTTTGGTAACTTGCGATATTGGCATCTTGCAGTTAGTTCTTTCATGGCACATGAAGGCTGGCACCATGTGTGAATTCTCCAAGCAGGAATTTATTGGTGGTTTACAATCTTTGGGGTAAAGCTTTCCATGTTTTTGTCAAAATAAGTTTAAATCTTACTCTTCAGTGTCTGATACCCAGTTGATATCTGTACAAAATTTCAGGGTAGATTCCATAGAGAAGTTTCGTGAAAGAATACCATATATGCGCTCTGAGCTTAAGGATGAACGTATGTATGATAGTACAAATACAGTTCATAGATTCAAAATCCAAACTAGCTATAGTTGATATATTTCATCTCATTAGAAATTATGTTCAATGACTGTTGAAGAAGCTCCCTGAAATATATCTACATTTTTGGATTGTTCAGAGAAATTCCGTGAGATATATAACTTCGCTTTTGGCTGGGCAAAAGAGAAGGTATGTTATGTTCCCATTGTTGCCTTAACATCAGTTTGTGCTGGACGTGATATCTGTTGGATGTTCCCAATCTTGTTCTTCTGAGTTCTGAGGTTCATTATTCTGTGGTCTGTTTCTTTGTTAGCCAACTCAGCTTGTTTCTGCTTATTTCTTCTTTATTTGCTGCATTTTTCTGTCTCTATAGTATTTGGAGCTCTGCCCTTTTTCAGTCACTGGGGATTATAATTAGTTACTATCATCCTATCCATATGCAGAACCTTCTTTACTAGTGATGATGACCTACCGAATTCTTGTGGGTATGTGGCATCTTCTGGATACTCTAGAGCTGCTTCATGTCCTTCTACAGTGTTCAAAACTCAATTAAACTATTGGAGTATACAGGATGGTTAATGACTCATGATTTCACTTTAGTATGAACTTGTTTTCTGTGTTTGAAGTCATAATCTTTCAAGTCTAGGTTTTCTGAGAATCACTTGTTATGGTTTAGTGTCTTACTGACAACGTGAATCCATTTACAAAATTAAAAGAAAAAAAATCTCAAAGTGGTGATATTCATAGTATAATGATGTGAGTCTATTTTAGAAATTTGAGGGAGGTATAAGTTGAAAAGACAAACACATTCACTGCTGCTACCATGAGCGAAGGTTCCGAGATTAGGCAGAATAGTAAATTGATGCTAATTAGTCTGGGTATATCCTATTAAGTGTCAGATCAATTTCAGTCACAGACCACTTGCTTGGGCATAAAACATGGACATATTTCCATAACTTAGATCGCTGTAAGCCTGCAACATTGAGTACTGAGTTTTGGACACGCATGCAGTTATATTTTGGTTGTGTATGTACTTCAAGATAGATGCTATACGAATTTGATTTCCCTATTTCAGGGTCAGAAGTCTCTGGCTTTGGATACAGCTATTGGAATGTGGCAACTACTATTTGCGGAAAAGCAGTGGCCACTGGTTGATCACTGGTGCCACTTCTTACAGGTAATTTACTAATTATTAGACTGATACAAGTTTTCATCTCTCAAGGGTTGTAACTTTGTTGGAACTTTCTGTATTTTTCTTCTTTTCTTTTTTTGTGATTTACTCAGGCCCGGCATAACAAAGCAATCTCTAGGGACACGTGGGCTCAACTATTGGAGTTTGCTAAGGTAAACTTTTAAAGCATCGGAAGACAGCTTAGCTGGTATTGGTTTCTTGAAAATAAAGAATAAGGAATCTTTTATTCTTTTTTGCTGTCCTTTTTGATGCCTATGTCTGACCAACTTGCTAATGGTAGCTATTATTGGCGTGGTGGAATATGAGGGGTTTGGTTTTTAACCCTTTTCATAGGTTTCCCTTGTGCTCTTTTCAGTCAAGTAAAGCTGAATGGTTGATAGGGCTCGTAAAATACCAGCCCATTGGCTCTTAAATTATGCAAAAATCAGCCACTTGCTGTGGCAGCTGCCAGTCAGCGAGCACCACAGCTATGGCAGCCCCTTTAGCACCATTACAGTTTTAATCAATATGATAATATATCGGATAAGGAATCATCACAATATCATCACATTCTTTGTTTGTTGGGTTTGCAAGGGAAATGATAATAAATATATGTATGATTACTTTCCTTTGCAATGCCTAAAACATGGCTGAGCCTTGGCAAAACAAAACATGATAACTTTCCCCTTCCACTTGTGAAGGGAACCGAAGCATAAATTTTTGTTTGTTGACGTACTTTTTTTTGGGGGGAGGGGGTGTTAGAGGTGTTTAACGATGGGCCTCCAACCCTAAGTAACGGGATGTGGGAATGGGGACAATGAAAAATTACAAGACATTTCGCCAACCCGAAGGCCCGTCTGTTGAGTTTGGTGTCCATTGTTTGAGTTGGAAACCCAGGCTTTTTCGACCATGCTTAGGGAATCACAAATCAAGCTGAAGTAATCTTGCTGGTCCTTTTTTGACGTCCGTTTGTTGTGGGACAAAACATGAGTTTAGTATCTTAGATTTATTTTATTTAGTTCATTAAAAACATGAAATTTGGATATTTTCTACGGGGAAAGAAGAGTTCCTTCAGATGTTTTTGTCCGTGCATCTGGTGGCAAAACCTAAAGAACTTTATCTGAAGTTGTGCTTTTTTGGTATTGATTTTATGTATCATTGAAACCATACATTTTTAATGCTCTGTTTTGCAGACTGTCGACCTAAACTTATCTAATTATGATGCTGAAGGTGCCTGGCCATATCTTATTGATGATTTTGTTGAATATTTGCACGAAAACGGCATCATCCAAAAGGGTGAGGGTGCTGATAGTAGCCTAAAACTATGATGCATTTTCTGAGGTGTCCATTGAAGAGTATATGAATATGCTCTGGCTTCTGGGTGTGATATGATTTGTAAAATTGTGGTTGAACATCTCTTTGCCGTTAAGGAGAATTTATTCAGTCAATCCAAAAGGGAAAAGGGGTTGTGGCATCTAGCTTGGACTCGTTATTGCTGACACTTAGTAATAACATCATTTTCTTCAGATTGACGGTATAATTTTGTGAATTTTCTGGGAAAATGTGTTATCAAGCCATGTAACCCAACTGGTTTTCTGGATTTCTTTTTATATTTTTTATTTTAATTGATATTTCTAGGTTGATGTCTTATTCTGTCCCAAAAAAAAAATTGTGGCGTCAGTGACTGTTTGAAGTATTCATGAGAATGAATAGAGGGAGATTTGTCTGAAAATGAAGAGGATTATGTTGCTTCAGTTTTTTAGGTCCATTAGGGGGTTGAACGTTCATGCTTCTTGGCTTTGTGTTGTCCCTGATGGAAGTCTGGAGAATGGAAGTAGAAGCGAGGGTGGAAGTCAGATTTTTGTTTGGTGTGCCTATGGCTGAATATGAAAAGACTGTCACACGCTTGTTCATAACATTTCAAGTCATTTTTATCCCTTTGATTTTTTAACCCTAAGCTAAAGGTCCGTTTGATCTGAGGAGGGCACCACGGTCTGCCGCTTGGTAAGCTCCAGTGACGGCAATTGAGTGCTTGTTTAGTAGGGCGTTTCGTTTCAGCAGGCAAAAAGTAGTTCATAGACCTGGAAGGTCAGGCAAATTTGGGAGTAATTTGTAGCAACTTTTGATCAATCTGATTTATGAGTCAAATTTGTTTTTTTAAGTATGATTGTAGAACAGCATTTAAACTTTACGTGTGACGTGTAAAAACAGTTGTTTGGAGTTAAATATGTTCTTATGTTTATCTATGTATATATTTCGTGTGTTTACTGATTACTTTTTAATTATTTATTTTTAATATTTTATTAAGTAAAAATAATTTTAACAGTTTTTATAATATTTTTAATTTTTAATATTATTTTTTAATTTTATTTTTACATAAATTGTGTGGAGTATATCATTCAATTAATTATATGATATTATTTGGTTTAAAAATGTTCACAATTTTAACTTTAAATATATTTTATTCATTAAATATAATTTTTTCCTGTTATAATTATGTAAAATTATTATAGTGTAAATTTATATTTTTAATCATTTTTTATAATTTAATAAAAGTTATACTTATTTTTGTCATTCTACAAATTAAATTTATTTTTCAATTATAATTCAAACAATTTTTTTTACTTTAGAAAGTAATTTTTATAAAATTTAGTATAGAATTTAATTGTTGAATTGATTTTAGTTCTAAATATAAGACTTATTTTTCATATTTATCAATTTTTTTTAAATTATTTTGATGGATACTCCCTCAACTATAATCAAGTAGAAGAAGGAGGGAGAATATCAAGAAAGATGATTATGGTATTTTAGAAAAAAAAAATATCATATTTCTTATAATTAATTAATTTATTTAAATTTTTTCAATCTAATCAAATTAGTTGAATATGTTTTATATTAAGAACTGGAGGAGTAATAAAGAAATTATTTTGGAAATAAATTTTGAAAAACTAAGACTCTTTGAATAATTATTATCAAAATCACTTTTTCATGTGTAAATTTACTAAAAAAATAAATAAATAATAAATATACAGATACAAGACCAATTTATTATTTACATAAATAATTAATAATTAATATGTATGTGCATTGATAAAGCCATGGTTTTTTCACTCAAAAAGTAGAAAAAATGCATTCTTGAAAAATCATGTTTTAGTCTCCAAGCCATGGTTTTAAGGAGTATTCAAACATTTTTTCCACAAAATATATTATACTCTAAATCTATTACTACCGGTCCTAAATATAAAAGTTAGTTGACTAATTTGAGGAGATTAAAGAAATAAGTTGAGTTATTTATTTGTAATAAATATCTATTGCCTTTTCAAAAAATATCCTTACTAATTAAGTATATTGGTTATTGGTTAGAACTACTACTATTAGAAGGGTTACCTTAGGAAAAAATGCATAAATATGAAAGACAAAGTGGATTGGGTTTTATATTTAGGATCAAAATAAAAAATAAATAAGGTCTTATATTAAGGATCGGGAGTAGTATCTTAAATCACTTTTTCCAAAAGCTAATTATATTGGCAAGAAATCATGGTTTTGGTACAAGTTAGAGATAACAACTTCTGATGATCATTTTTTCCCGCAAAATCTATTCTACTCGAGAACAAATTTTTCACACAATTTATTATACTAAAAATCTATTCTTCAAAAACTAATCCAAACGCACTACTTTGGACATTTAATGAATTTATGATACCTTATAGTCTACTCCCTCCGTTTCTTATTATAAGAGACATTTGATACTTATGGCATGTTTTTATATTTAAGAGACACTTAAAAGTTATCTCTACTTTTTTGTGTTGATTTTCTATTTTACCCATATTTATTGTCTCTAGCTCACACTCTCTCTTCCTCTCACTTCTCTCTCTTTTAATAATTTAATTGTTTTCTCTAATGCTCTCTCTCTTTATTAATGAGGGTATTTTTGGAAAAAAAAATTATACTTTTCAGACATTGATTGTTTTCAACCAATTTTAACTATTTTTTTATCAACGTAATTTGGTTATTCGTCTCTTATAATAAGTAACGGAGGGAGTATTAAACAAGTTGTATTTAATATTACTTTGTTACAGAGTTAATATATTAAATTATGATTGGCAAAAGAAATTAATATATTAAATTATGAATAGCCACCCTTAATAAATTAAATCATGATTGGCAAAAGAAATTATGATTGGCAGGTACATGCACTCTTTTTTTTTTTTTTTTTATGTTGCATACAAATACATTTACTCTATGAGCATACTCCTCTGGTCTCGTTTATAAGACAGAGATATAAAGTTTTTTTTTTTAAAGTTATAAATCAATTCATTAAATTTTTAACATGAATATACTATCTTGTCTTTCATTTATTATAGTGTACTATATAGTTATCTTTGAAATAAGTGAACGAGACATATACATATAAGCAAGATCAAAGAGCCATGTCCAAGTATCCTCCAAGTGTCGGCGGCTGTGGTGATCGAGCATGTTGTGCTGGAGGCTCTCTCTCTCTCTCTATATACACACACACACATATCTGATTTTTTTCTGGGTTGGTTTGTTGATCAGAAGGGCACAAGTATGAATGGCCAGAAACGGTGGGATTGGATGCTGAAAAGGCAATAAGCTTAATCAATGAGGAAAACCCATATGTGACAGTGGTGAAGGTGTTAATTAAGTGGCCTGTTGACTTCCGCTGCAACCGTGTTTACCTCGACGTCCGACGTTCCACCAATAAGGTTGTCTCCGTCCCCATGATCGGTTGACTCAGATCACTTCGACCCCTTCATCATAACAAAACAAATGTTCCCGACAAATAAACAATCAAATAATGTCCTTTATTAATTTATGTGTGACTTTCTAGTTAGTGCCTCTCTATTGGCTTACATATATGTACGAGATGAGACATTATGATCTCATCCTATGAATAAGAGGTTCTTAGTTATCCTATGCTATGAATATGATCCCCCCATTTGTTTTCATCAGCAGCAAGTACGGCTTTCTCTCATTGTTCAAGACATGACAACTTCAAATCAAAGAAAGCTCTAAGAAAACCAAAAATGCGAACTTTCAAATGTAATCTAAAGGACTTTATTGAGATAGCAAGAGAAATAGAAGAACTACATTATTACCATTATTTATCGATGATAAAGAATTGGCAGCATGAAATGTCTGGAAACAGTATTAGATGTTCACAACTCGCATCTTTAATTATTCCTCAAGTGTCAGTTATATTATGTGATTACATTACGTTGCACGTCCCTTTTTTTTTTTTTTTTAAACAAGAACTTGCACATCTTTATCCACACCCAATCCGAACCAAAATCTATTACCCTAATTGGCGTAGCATAAAAGGAAATTAATTTGAAGAGATTCAATCACCACAGCCCACAGGGATTCGCCTTTTTTTTTTTTTTTTGCTAAAGCATAGGTATACTCCTATTGAAAACAATCCTATTCGAGACACTATCGGGCACTAAATATGAACACCTCTTCTAATAAAGATTCGAATCTTAGTTCGTCATGTTGTGAGGGATTAGTCCCTTCCGTTAGACTCAATCCTTATTGGTGGCATTCACCTTATGGCTTATGGAATCGTTAGATGATTATAACTACCTCTTGAATTGATTTTTCATAGTTGTAGTGATAATCTTCTACTTTACCTATAAAATCTTGCAATATCTTGTCAAAACGTGTCGGGTTGCTTATTACTCCTCCGGTCCTAAATATAAAACTCATTTACTAATTACACTATAAAATGGGTCTTATATTTAGGATCAGAGGGACTAATATAATATCCAATTGGCAAGTAATTAAATGGCTATCCAATTAATACTTAATACTATGAAACTACTGGCAGAGGGGCGGCATCAATGCTATTGGAAAAAAAATCGCAAATGGAGTTTGACAAACAAATTATTTACAATATTCCTTAAAATCTGATGTATGTAACACACATTATTTTGGAACTAAAACATTCACCCTATTATGTAACACACTATTTATCTAACTAAAACATTCTCTATCTTTGTGAATTTAATTATTTTAATGACACAATAATTGTGGCTGCTCCTTTCACATTTATATATAAGAAAAACGTTTGATATGATATTTGATCTTTCGAATTTGTTCTCATTTTGGTTTCGTTCTCTCAAATTTTATTTCAGTTCCCAAGGAGAATATTATGCAAATAAGATGACTAAAGGGGGTTTGAACTTATCACCTGCGGGCACACCAAAAAAATTATAACCAACCAAACCATCCAATCCTTTAATTATATAATATGAAGAAAAATGTATGTAACAAAATAAATGCAAGTGCTCAAGTGTGAATCAATAAGTAAAATAAGAATATTCAGTACAGTCATAATCAATATCCTTATATGGGATGTCATGTGCATAGTGATGCTTTCTATAAGGGTATTTTCTACTTAGAACTAAGTAGTATAACAATTATTTCCTTCCTCTCTCCCCTTTTTCTTTCCCTTTTTCTAAACTAACTTTTCTACCATCTAATTTTTTTTCTCCCTTTTTAAAAATTTCCTTCTCTCTCTTTTTTTTTCCCTAAAATTGCAGAGAAGCTAAATACAACAAATAAATATCAATAAAGAAATTTAAAAAAAAAACCCAATCTTTCAGTAGCTCCAAAAATGTCCATAATTGAAGAATGGCTGAACATGTAGAAGTGCAGTTTTCACAAAATTGGGTCCAAAAGTTCAATTTCTGCCAAAACTCTCGGTCAAAG